ACTCAAGTCCGTACCGATCCTACATAGACATGCAACGCAAGACATTCAAGACGCAAGTCTGCTCAGATCCCACTTAGATGCACGCACGCGTGCACAACGCCAGACCCCAACACACAAAATTCGAATCTCTGTGGAGTCTTGCAAGGTCATGTCAGCAAATATTATGTTACAGGCTTGGAAGCACAGGGATGCAGAACAAAAGCACATGGGAATTTTCCTGCAACGGCGATTACAGCAGATGCTGAGAAACGACTGGCCTGGGGCTACAAAGCACCAGCAGCGCAAGCGGCACGTAGCGGCATGCGCATTGCAAAGACGACTCGCGGGATGGCATCTGCTTGATGTTGTCGTGGGAGGGTTGCAGAAAACTTGATCACTTTCTCTTTTTGTCAGGTTTGCTTTCTGAGGATAATTCCAGAAACAATGATGCCGACCTTTTGTTTCAACCCTACTTTCTATTGGTGCGTTCTACCCCTTCTCTGGTCCTCAGCTGATAAATCATGCTTTCAATCTCAGCATCGCTTTCTCGATTCATGTCAGCTTGATCCGGCGGAATCATGCAGCAGTGCGGTCATAACAGGAAATACTGACATGAGACCCCAAAGAACCACAGCACTTTGAGGGGGCCCTCTGTGCAAACAGGACCAGGACAATACACAAGCTCGCCTGCAGTTCCGCTCTCTGATCTAACTCTATGCAAGCCACGTGCAAGAGCAGAGCTGCCGGGCAGCTCGTGTATGACAAAGGTTTCATCACGTGAGTCTAAGCAGTGTGTTGAGCGAAGGCCTGCTGAAATGAAACATAGGTGATTCTAGGCCTAGGTTTACACACTGTTCTGACTCTGGCCTGCAAAGGGTGCAGTCCAGTTGTCAAACTCTATTGGGTTGCCCGTGGTTTTCTGCATTCTCCTGATTGGAAAGCATCAGTGGCGAAATGCCAGGGCCCAGGCACACAGGTCGCAGGCCGGCCACGAAGACCTGCACCTCATGTATAGCTCTGTATAACCGTCACACTTACTGCCCTACCTGATGGGTAGCACTTTAGGCTCGTGCGGAATGTCACAGCAATCTCTTCACTCGCATCACCCTCAAGTCTGCAGTTTCCCGCGAGCCTCTCCTAGGCCACTTCAGCTGCGGAGTGTTGGGCAAATGCGCGCCTATGCAGAATACAGTGTGCCTGCAATCGGTAATACTCTCACCCCTTGTAGCATTCATAACTTGTGATGCCAAACGCCGCCAACCAGGCCCTGTTCTACAGTGTAGATTCTACAGCTGGAGTCATTCAGGCTCTGTCTGCTAGTGTTCTGGGTCCAACAAACGCATACTTACCAGGCCCTGAAGGATGTCATCGTGTTCCGTTTGGAAAGCACTTGCGGCTTGAGCCTCGGCTTGAGCGACATGCCGGTGTGGGCTGCGGTCGCACCGGGAGCGGTTAGGTACACTTCTCGAAGCCAAGTTGTGCCCGGCCGTCTCTGATACCATCCCTCTGATACCATCCCTTTGAAACCAGTACCGGAATCGAGCGTGTTAGCCGTACGCACCCTGGAGGCATATAATGCCCAACTACACAAACAAAACATCACCGCTAACAGTAGAGCGCCAGCGCAAACTTCCGGTTTTTCCTCGTGATGAATGCTACTTCAGGATTGAACCAAAATCTCCTTATTACCCAGAGTCTACTAC